TATAAAGAAAAAAAGCATTCAGTAACTATCTCTGAAATGGAAACAGAATGTACATTAAAATAACTGCAGCATTAACAGAGATTCACATACAACAGGGCTTTTCAACCAGTGGTACGGGTACCACCTGTGGTACATTGGCACCTGGCAGGTGGTACGCGAGCACCCTAGAAAAATGGTAGTGGGGGAAGGGAATGAGCTGAACCCGTGGCAGCACCACACAAGCCTGAGCGAGAAATGGCTGGAGCCGCAGGGCTATCAGGGCTCAATGGAAGCGCCAGGATCAGAGCCAGGCTCCAGTGGGAGCTTGGCGCTAATCCTGGTGCTTCTGCTGAGCCCAGAAGAAGCGCCAATCAGCTGGAATGTTGCAACATCTCCAGGGTCTTGTGATTTACATTCAGATGTTTGGCAACTGATTCATATTTATGACGGTCACAGTGTCCCAGGGTCATGTGAAGTGACCAAAACCTGCTGCAACCACCCAGAAGACGGGGGGAATAAAAACCAAACACCCCCCACCCCACTCTCGCTGCCAATCCTCAACAGAAATGCTCACAACAATGAAAACCTCGGACAGGAGGAAGAGCGCCGCCAGGCGGGCCGGCAGGTGTGTTGCTCGGCTGTGGCTTGGGGGGCACTTTTTTCAGTGCTATTGTAACTTCGAACAGTCACTAAGCAAACTGTTGTAAGTCAAGGACTACCTTTTTTCCTTTTTTTTTTTTTGGTCATCAAGTTTTTGACACCTTGCTAGGCGACTGGTGGTACTCGGATATTGCCATATCCTAAAAGTGGTACAATGGATGAAAAGGTTGAAAAGCCCTGACATAGAAAATTGAATCTTGTAGACACAACTATATGTGGATTAACTCTGATGAAAAGAGGCTTCTTCCTCACACAGTACCCTATTCCATTCTCTTGATTTTGTAGTTGATTTCTAGATTATTTGGTGACGTTAAAAATACATAATTTATCAAAATGGGGAAAATAATCTAAAAGTACAGGTTTAAATTTAAATATTTAAATCTGAAATTTTATACTCCAAACTTTAGGCCTCTAGCAAACTTTCTATTTTTAGAGCCTTGTGTAGAAGGTGCATGCTTAAAATAAGAGGTTTGAGTGAAATGATTTTTCTTGAGCACCAGAACTGGACCAGCCATGTTTTCTTCATTTTGGCACAATTATTTTAGGCAGATAGGAAGATATTTTGTTTCTACCAGGAGTCCAGAATTCTTGCTATAAATCATCTAAACTAGAGTTCTATCAGTAGCTCACCATTCTGCTTATCGTTCTATTCCCAGGAATGCATTTCTATGCATGCTTACCTAAAATCTTGCATGGTATACTTTCCATTTCTCACAGGCCACACATCTAACCAACTTTGTGTGGAAATTATGGTAGATTGGAATGATCTATCATTAATTGTTTTCATCTGACTTCTCACATTTTTGTGAGGTTTTATAAAGCCTGGGTTCATCATTCATGGCTTCTTCCATGTGGTTTGGAAGATGGCAACTTCAATAACTATCAGTAATAATAATAATAATAATAGTAAAGTTGGAAGGGACCTTGAAGGTCATCTAGCCCAACCCCCTGCTCAGGCAGGAAACCCTATACCATTTTGGACAAATGGCTGTCCAGTCTCTTCTTAAAAACTTCCAGTGTTGGAGCATTCACCGCTTCTGGAGGCAGGTTATTCCACTGGTTAATTGTTCTCACTGTCAGGAAGTTTCTCCTTAGTTCTAGATTGCTTCTCTCCTTGATTAGTTTCCACCCGTTGCTTCTTGTCCTGCCTCCAGGCGCTTTGGAAAATAGCTTGACT